GCCCTGGCCGTGGGCTCAAGCTCCCGCTCCCCTCGGGGCTCAGGGTTGCTGTGAACAGACTCTCAGAACAGCCTTCTGGCCCTCAGCTGCCAGGAGGGCTGGGGAATGAGGGCAGGGGCCCAGATGAGGTGGTGCAGGTCTGAGGGGCCATGGAAACCCCTGTGCTGACTCGGCAAGGCCAGAGCAGAGGGTGTGAGTGAGACTTCTGTGCCCTTGGTTACCCTGGGGAAGATAGCAGGCCCATCTCGTCGAGATGTCAGCACCGGGGGAGAGCCTGGGCGTGATGCCTTGCTCAGAGGCCACGGCGAGGCCAGGGGTGCAGGCCGACCCCAGGCCTGCCCGGCCCTCCTACCCCAAACTGATGGCTCAGCTCTCTGGCTTACTCTGAAAAAGCGTGATTCAGCCCAAAGCAGGAGCTCTTTCTCTTGGTGGAGGATCAGAACTGACAAGAGGTGATTAATGGAACCTGCAGGCCTGGAGTGACAAGCCTCCGGGGCTGATGAGCAGGTTGGGAACGCCCCTAGAGGAACAATGCGGCAGATCCTCTAAGCCCTGGTAGTGCAAACACAACAAACACAACACGGGGTGGCGTGAGTGCCTCCCTGGCCGGGTCGGGACCCTCCCTGGCCTCTGCCTGAGCAGGGGCAGGAGCCTCAGCCGGCCCAGGGGTGCCTTCCCTGCCCCACGGAGCGCCCTGGGACCACCGCATGGGGTCGACCAGGCGCAGACACACTGGGGGGCCCATTGCCCGGCCCAGCACATCCTCCTGGGGCAGAGCAGGGTGTGGCCAGGCACTGCTGCTGTCTTCCGCTCCCTTCTTTGTTTTCTAGCAAAAATATGTTTTCTCCCCATTTTCAGGGAAACTTGGTGCCCGCAATCTCCCCCCAACCCCCCGCCACGAGGCCCTGCCTGGCACATCACCATCGGCACAGCAGTGTGAGAAGGGTTTTATTGCCCCATTTCCTGCAGGAGGCCAGGTCTCCTGCCCACGGTCACCACGAGGCCCGGCCTTCACACCGCCTGGGGCCTGGCAGCCTCGACCCAGCCCTCCGTGTGACCCAGGCATGTCCCAGGCAGTGAGCATCGCGTGGAAACGCCCCTATTATTTTCCTAAACCCTTTGTCCAGATAAGGAAACTGAGGCCCAAAGAGGATCAGTGCTTTGCCCCAGCTTGATTGTGTGAAAGCCCAGATCAAACCTCAAGCTCCCGTCTGCACCCCGAGCCTCTGCCTGTGACATCCTTTCCGGCAGACGCCTGAAGGGCGTCCGCCGTCCTCTGTCCTCGGGGCTCATTGCCCAAGGCCCCGCCAGCAGCTGGCCCTGTGAGGCCAGGCCTGAGTGAGCCAGCCTGTCTGCTCATGAAGTCCAGCACTCAGGGGCGCCAAGACACTCGTCAGCACAGAAGGTCAGAGTCAGACATCACTGAAGGGAACCTCTCCCGCATGGTGGCCCAGAGTCCTAGCGAGCCAAGGCCAGGCAGTGGGAAAGGGAGAAGCACGGGCTTCCGGGCCCAGCGCTGACGCAGCACAGGCCTAGCTAACTGTCAGCAGTGTCTGCGGGTGTCTCTGCTTCCCAAAGATTCATCCACAGTCACCAGAGTGTCCATCTGCAGAACTGGGGCTTCTATCCTGTCCCCCAGCGCCTAATCCAGGGTCCCTGACTGGATCTTGAACCAGGCTTCTCCCTTCTTCCCTTTCTCCCTGCACCACAAGGGACCAGTTTCCCAGAAGGGCTGACGCCCCTCCAGAGGGTCCCCTTGAGGGCAGGGGCCTCTCCTGAAAGGCCGACCCTCCCAGAGAGCAGACCAGGCCCCAGGCAGCCCCTTCCCTCTGAGGGACCCGCACAGCAGTCAGGAGCCTCCTTCAGACCACCCCAGGCCTGCCCCTGCAGCACCCACTGCCTGAAGTCCCTCTTAGGCCACCAGGCTTCCCAGACACACGGCAGGGTCAGCACAGCCTTTGAATCAGATGGACCTTCATGTCAAGCCTACGTCTGCCATGGACAAGCTGTGTGACCTCGGGAAAGTCGCCCAACCTCTCAGGGCCACAGAGGCCGAAACTGAAAAACCAGAATCAGGTGAGTGCGTGTGGAGAAGCCCAGGCGCACAGAGCGCAGGCAGGTGGACGGCCAGCTCGCCTCCCCCCGCAGCAGGCAGGTCCCGCCTCGCGGGTCTCGGGGGACCCGTCAAGAATTCCTCCGGCCTCATCCTGTGTCAGCACGTGGCTCTGCCACCCTCCTGGGCGCCTGCAGCCAGACGAGGCCCACCAAGCAGACAGGGCTCAGTCACTGGCTGTCCAGCTCGTTCCCCCACTCACTTTTCCATCCTCTGGGGCCAGGGCCTCTGCAGGGGGGAGGGACGTTCCCTGCCAATGTCTGGGAAGCTGATTCAGGGGCCCTTCGCCTGCTGGCTCAGCGGGGAAGGAGTGGCAAGACAAGCAGGAGCCGATGCAGTGGGGCCACCCCGCGGCCTGGGAGAAGCCCCCTGGCTCCTTTCCCCTATGCTGCCAGCTGACGTGAAGGGACAGGCGACCGCCATGTATGTCAAGATGGTCCGATGCTGTGTCTAGGGCGGCACAAGGAAGGGACAAGCAAGTTCGACACGTATGTAGCACGCTGCCTCAGCAGCGTGTAGAGTGGCGCGGCCCTGCTGTCCTGGACGTGACAGTCTAGGTGCCCTCCGCAATGCCAGGACTCAGGCCATCGGACGCCACATGGTTTGCCAGGCTCCTCAGCTGAAGACAGGGAAACGAGACCACAAAGGACACGCGCCAGCCAGAGTCCCCGGGGAGATGGTCACCAGAGCGCCTGCCATGGACAGCCCAGCCAAAGCAAGACTAGCCAACGCCCTGGTCTCTGGTCCCAAGCTGCCCCTCTCGTGGGGAGAAGGCGGTGCCCGCCTCCCACTTGGCTGGACGCCACGCGTGACCTCAGCCGGAGGGCAGGTAGGAGGCGGCGGCATCTCTGCCCAAGACTATTTAAGGGCTCGGCCGGGCTGAGCTCGCCCGGGTCCCTCCCTCCGGGGCCAGGCAGGCGACAGGACTGGCAAGTGCCAAGGTCCTCTCTGACAGCCCCTGGGGGTGCAGGAGAGCAGGGGCTAGAAGCGCCCCTCGCCCCCACTCAGGGTGTGGCCCCACAAGGCTGAGTACCTGCATGTCTCAGGAGGGGATCAGGACGCCCCCAGGATGTCAGGCACATAGACTTATGTCTGGGCTCAGACAGCAGTAGTGGAGACGGGGTCAAACGGGAGGAAGGTAATTCTAACCAATAAGACCGGCTGACTCTTAACAGGCTGCCCGCAGCGGTTACGAAATTCACATTAGCACACCCTCTTCTGAAAGGTGCCACCAGTCCCCTGCACCCCTATGATGTCAAGGGTCTGGAATCGGAGAGACGGGCCCCAGTTTCACCATGTCCCAGCTGGTGACCTCACTCGAGGTACTGAACTTCTCTGGCCTCAGTTTCCTCTTCCGCACACATAGCTGAAGGCTGCCCCGCCCTTGCAGAGCTGCAGGCAGAGTAAACAAGGCACCGCCCGCTGAGGGGCCTGCCCAGGGCCCGGGCTGTTACACACTGGGTAAATCCTGCTTCCTTCCTGCTGGAGAAATCTGGCCTCCATGTGGGCTCTCAGGGGACACCTAGATACATCTCCCCCCAGAAAGATCAGGCGCTACCCTCTCTCCTCCGGGGGGCCACAGGGCAGGGAGGTCCCGGCAGCGCAGCCCCTGGGACCCTCGCCGGGGGCTCGGCCTCCCGCTCATGGCTTTAAGCTAGAACAGAGGCACCTCCAGCCTGCTCTCGGCATCAGGGCTAAGAAACCGGTTCTCCTGCCCCCCCACCCCAACCCCACCCCAGGACCTGAGCCAGCCCAGCTGGGGCACCCAGAGTGCTCCACTTCCTCCTTCCTGTCCCCTGTTGGGGGTCTGACACCCACAGGAACCAGCCCTGGACCCCAGGCAACAGCCAGCCGGGGTTGATTCAATGAGCCCAAGGGACAGGGAGCTACAGGGTGCTGCTTTGGGCGTCAGTTTGGGGGAGTCAGGAGGGCTTCTTGGCACTGTGGTCTTTCCCTCTGGGCTCTGAAATTATTTTATGGGAGGAAAATGGTGGCGGTGGGGGCGGGTAGAGAAGGGGAAGGGGCACCGGCCAGGGCACAGTGGGGGAGGCAGAAATAGAAGCTGGTTCGGCCACGCTGGATGTGAGGACGTGAGGGGTACAGGGCTGGAAAGGAGGGGCGCACCCAGGGCCACGTGGGAGGAGGACCAGAAGCAAGAAGGGTGTGGCAGCGAGCTGTGAAGGGTGGGCCTGGGGTCCTGGCACAAAACCCCCTGATGTGGAGCGTGTAAGTGGGGGCAGCCCGCCACCCTGCTGCTTAGCTTCCGCCCATGAACCGCTGGGAAAGTCTCATCCGTGACTTCCTCATCTCTAAGCGATCAGAGCCGAGCTGATCAGAGCCTGACCACCCGCAGCTTGAGTGTTAAGTGAGCCCCACGGGGGGGGGGGGGGGGGGGGGGTGCCCAGGCAGTGCCTGCAGACAGTGGGGGGCAGTGCACACAGCCAGACGCTCGGCAATCCATTAGTCAACGTGTCAAGTTCGGGGCCAAGTGCACCAAGCTGCGCCGGGGACACCCCATCTCCTGCTCCATGACCGCTCCATGGGCTGGGCCAGAGGGCAGGATACCCCCGCAGCCTGGGTTTGACCCAGAAGCACAGGTACCCCAAGGAATGAGTTATGACAGTTCCCAAGAGAAAGCAGTCGGAGGAAATGCCAGCCTGTGGGCTCTGGGCCTCCTGAGAGGCCGCCGGCTTGAAAAACTGGACATACTGCCAAGAGCTATTTGCCAAAGTAAAGCCATTCTTTATTGCATCGATACAACGGCACAAGTGAGCTTATCACACAACACAACTGCTTCTTGCCCCTCCCTGCTCAGAGATAGGGAGACCTGGCGGGGAGAAGGAGGCGAGTTGGGGTAGGGGCAGGAGGGAAAACCCGGGAGGCAGGTAGGAGGGCTGGCGGGGAGAAGGGAAGAGGGAGGGAGAGCTGGAGGAGTTAGGGAGACCATGCAAAGCACCAACTAGCTGAGGGGCCCCTTGCGCTGCACCCGCTGAAGGCAGGGATTGCAGCTTGCGTTCCAGCCCTCCGGCCAGGCCTCGCCACCCTGGCGAGGGGTGGAGGGAGCTGCCTGCTGGGCGCTCAGACCTCTCTCTTGCGGGAAGAAACCACCTTCCCATCCACTGACTCCTCCACGTTGATGCGGACTTTGCCACCGCCACCTCCCAGGGAGGCTGCAGAAAGAAGGAGCAAGCTTTAGGGGGGCCACCCTGTTCTCCCTCCCTCCCAAGGTGGACAGCACCTTGGCTGAACCCCAGGAGAACTGGACAGCGCCCCTTTGATGGCTATCGGGCAATCGTTCAAGCTGCCAAGGGCCCCGGGGTTGAATCACTCCTCGAAGGGGCGGGTGGTGGCAGCAATGCCCAGAGCGAGAAATAATGCCAGGCTGTTCAGGCCGCACGTGAACAGGGAGTGGCCTTGCTCAGACGCGCATGAGGGGGGGGCCTGGGAGCTGTGCCCTGGGCAAGCCTGCTCAGCCTGGAAGGCTCCTCCTGATGCTGACAGATGACCCCCTGGGGGAGAAGTGTCCATGGACGGCTGTGATGCCACCCATCTGGGGTGCTGGGCCTCTTCCTCCTTGCTCCCTGTTCTTAGGGGAAGGTGGCTTCCCACCCCACGTGGGACAAGTTAAGCCTTCTCACCTTCTCGGGCGCCAATGCCAGCCATCCTGCAAGAGACAGGAGAACAGATGTAAGCACAAGCTTGGATCTCCCTCCGCTGCCCCCAGGCAGCTCCGCAATCGCCCCCAGCGCCCCCTCATCACCACCACCCCGACCTGACTTCTCTAGACCCTTGGGCGACGTGAGGGCCCACCCACACCTGCCCATGCCTGCCCTCAAGTAGACAGCTTCCGATCTACAATAACACTCCAGGTGCTTCGTGCAGGGAATGGCACCAGCATTCAGCCCACGGCTACCATTTAGAGAAGACACACAGGTCCAGAAAGGTGACAGGACCTGCCAAGGGCCAGACCCCGCGCTCGGCGCTCTCCTCACTGTGCCAATGCTGTCGCCTTAGGGTGTCTCGGCCCAGGCACCACGGCCTCGTCCTGCACCCTGGCCCACCTGGAGTCCTGGCCCTCCAGCAGGCTGCGGTAGGTGGCGATCTCCTGCTCCAGCCTGGTCTTGATGTCCAGCAGCATCTTGTACTCCTGGTTCTGACACTCCATCTCGCTGCGCAGCTCGCCCAGCTGGGCCTCGATGCTGCCGATCAGCCCCTGGATCTGCTGCAGCTGCGTGGCGTAGCGACACTCGGTCTCCGCCAGCGAGCTCTCCAGGCCGGCTTTCTGGTGGGGCGACGAGTGGACAGCACTAGCTCAGTAGAAAGGAAATGGAGGGGGCGGGAGAGGAGCCGAGCGGAGTGCAGGGGACCCGGGAGGCGACTTGGAAATCCCCAGGCTTACGCAGGGTGGAGGGCGTGGCCGCAGCGGGCAGTCATACCATGCTGAGCTGGGACTGCAGCTCAATCTCCAGCCCCTGCATCGTGCGTCTCAGCTCGGTGACTTCCGACTTGCTGGTCTGGATCATCTCTGTGTTGGAGGCCACCTCCTTGTTCAGCTCCTCCGTCTGTAAGTCATGCACGTGACAGGTGAGTCCGTGGGTCTCCTGGGAGAGAGGCTTGGGGGACGGCAGGCGGTCAGGCCCACCTTGCTGAAGAACCAGGCCTCAGCATCCCGCCGGTTCTTCTCCGCCATGGCCTCGTACTGCTCCCTCATCTCCGACAGCACGCGGGTCAGGTCCACGCCCGGAGCGGCGTCCATCTCCACGTTGACCTGGCCCGCCACCTGGCTGCTGAACTCCTTCATCTCCTGCAGGGGGGTGGACCGTTGAGAGGCAGAGGGCAAGAGCGCAGTGTGTGCCTCCCCTCCCCCAGACCCGACCTGATCTCTGCCTCCTGCAGGAGGCTTGACCCCAGGGGCCACCCACTCTGGCTGGTCTCTTCCTCTCTAGGCCAAACCGAGGCAGGACAGTGGTTCACAGTGGCACTGGACCCGGTTATGGGTCATAGAGGAGGGGTTTCGGTCAGCAGAGGACAGGGCCCACCCGCTCCAGGGGCCCGTTTTGGAGTCTGTGAGGCAGCAGGGGTGGGGAGGATGTGTTTCTGACCGCTAAACACTTTGACCAATTATAAGAAAGGTCAGGGGCCCCGCTCTGCCTCCCCCACCTCCCCCAGGCCCCGGCCACCTCACCTCCTCGTGGTTCTTCTTCAGGTAGGCCAGCTCCTCGTTCAGGCTCTCGATCTGCATCTCCAGGTCGGCCCTGGCCAGGGTCAGCTCATCCAGCACCCGGCGCAGGCCGTTGGTGTCGGCCTCCACGCTCTGGCGCAGGGCCAGCTCGTTCTCATACCTGGAGGGGAGCAGGGGCCTAAGGTGAGGGACGCCGAGGGGTCCACACTGCTTGACTAGGGGAGGCAGAGAAAGCCCACGGAAAGGGGAAGCGTGGAAGGGAGGAGAAGGGGCGGAGCATACTTGAGCCTGAAGTCGTCCGCAGCCAGCCTGGCGTTGTCGATCTCCAGGATGACCCGAGAGTTGTCAATGGTGGCCGCCAGGATCTGCAGGAGACCGGGTGTGTCCAGAGGCCCCTCCTGCCTTCCCTGCTGCTCTCCGCGCTGAGCCAGAGTCGGGCCCTGCCCTGACCATCTCCCCTCTGCCACCAGCGGTGAGGTCTGAGGGTCCCGAGGCCAGAGTCCAGCCTCACCGCATGTGCCAGCTCCTTGCTTTACCCACCATGCCCTCTGGGCAAGAAGGACCAAGGAACCAGGGCTGCCGGAAACCGCGTATGGGAATCGCCTGGCAGGCAATTGAGTGGGCGCTGGCAACAGCCCCCTGAGCCCCCGCCTCTGTGCACAGCCAGTGGCTCGCCGCGGGTCACAGGACCCTCCAGCCAGAGGAGGGCAGTTTACACCCAGACCTGTTGGCCCAGTGAGTGAAGCTGAGAGAGTGGGTGGCAGATCCCACAACGGCTCCAGGTCTCCTGAATGCCAACAGTGCGTCTGGCACTAAGGACTTCCTCAAAAGGTGAAGCAGGGGCCCTCGCATTCCGGGCTCCCGGAGCGGCGCTCCGGGACACTTCTGGGGAGCCCTGCGGTGTGTCTGATTGCCCCCATCTAACCCAAGGGTGCTCACTCCAGGGTCACCCCACACAGCCACGGTGAGCCGACACCACACCTGTACCCCAGGTCTAGCAAGGTTACACACCGACAGTCGCCACCTGGGCGGGAAAGGCTTCCCGGAGCAGCGGGGCCGACGCCGAGACACGCTCGCAGGACCCGGCCACCTGCTTCCCGCCTGACGCCCTGGCTCACCTTGTCCCGGAGCTCCTCGATGGTCTTGTAGTAGTGGCTGTAGTCGCGCTCCGGGCTGGACGGGCTCTGCTTCTGGTACCAGTCGCGGATCTTCACCTCCAGCTCGGTGTTGGCCTCCTCCAGGGCGCGCACCTTGTCCAGGTAGGAGGCCAGGCGGTCGTTGAGGTTCTGCATGGTCACCTTCTCGTTGCCCGACAGGAGGCCGCCATCACCACCCCCGAGGCCAGCACCCATGCCACCACCGAAACCTCCTCCCAGGCCACCACCGAAACCTCCTCCCAGGCCACCTCCAAAGCCACCTCCCAGGCCGCCTCCAAAGCCACCTCCCAGGCCGCCTCCATAGCCACCCCCAAAACCACTACCAGCCCCTCCACCAAAGCCGCAGCTCATGCCGCCCCCATAGCCCCCCGAAGACCCCGAGGACACAAATCTAGCAGAAGACGTCGAAACACTGCGGTTCCCTCCGCCCCCATAAAGGCTGCCCCCGCCAAAGCAACCTCCCCCTCCCAGGAGGGAGCATCCCCGGCTCGAGCTGCCCCCGAGGGTGGAGGAAGAAGTCTGCAGGAATGTGGTGCTCATGGCAGGCGGGTTCTCAGCAAGCAGGAGGCTCTGGCGGAGGCCGGCGCGCTGGACAGAAACCCGAGCACTGTGCCTGTCGCCCCCGCCCGGGCGCCTTATATACCCCCTGGAAGGTGTTGTGAGACCGCCTCCTCCCCCAAGGGAAGCCAACTCCTTCTGCGTTCCTGACAAGCACATCTGCTGGCACACCTCCTCCAAGGGGCTGTGCGGAGTTTCCTTTTCACTTTTTTTAATTGCAACAAAAGCCATGATTCAGAATGCATGGTGTTTTGCCCCTGGCCATGGTTTTAACACTTGGATTTCGGGTTCATCTCTGCGCTCCAAGAGAACACAGAGAGTTGCGAGCAGAGAGCAGAGCCGCATCCCCCGCAGCTTCCAGACCACCGCCCTGGCTTCTGCGAGCCCAGCCCGGGACCCTCGCCCCAGGGCCGCCCGCTCCAGCTCTCAGTCTGGGGGGCGGCTCCCTGTTGGCCTGCTCACAGCCCCAGCACGTGAGCCTGAGGCGCACCGGGAGAACAGCAGCCCCCCCCCCCCGGGCATCGGTGAGCAGGGGCAGCTGAGGGCAGCCAAGGACCAGAGCAGGATTTGGAGTCAAGTCTCCATGGGTGACCAGAGGAGGCAGCGTTTGCCACTGCACGCGGGCTCTTCCCCTCCACAACCTCACGCACAGCCCCTCCAGGGTGTCCGGCCCCACGCCCTGGCACTCGCTGGAGCCAGCAGGCTCCAGATTGACAAGGGACGGGCCGATCCCCGCCAGCTGCCAGCCGCACATGTGGCTGGGCCTCTCTTGCTCCTGGGACACGTTGGGGCAAACCTCTGCAGATAAGAAGGGGCATGTTCCAGGAAGCCCCTGCCTCCCTGGGGAGAGGCATGTCGCTGCACAGCGGGCCGGATTAACCCCCGTGTGCCCTGTCAGGCGCTGAGAGGTTGGGGAGGTCTGCGTGCTGAGCATCTGGGGGGGAGGGCACGAGGGGACCTGCGAAGACCTGAGGCCCAGGCAGCAGTTCCCAGGGAAGGTGCTGGAGCCAGAGGCAGGAGGCCAGCACCAGGAGCCCTTTCCTCTGCCGCCGGCTCAGGGGGCGCCTGTGGGCAGTGCCACTGGCAAATGTGGCCTGGCCCTCTGACCCTGGCTCCAGGCCGCAGAGACCCGTGGTGGAGCAGATGAGCGACACTGAGCTGGCATCAGGAGGACTCCTGTGGAGAGAGTGCAGGGGGGCACCCCCCCATCCAGCCCCGCCTGGGCTCAAACCCTGCCTCTGCCCGGGGCGTTTAAACCCTGGACCTGCTCCCTTGAACTCTCAGTGTCTTCATGGCAATGGCATTCGGCTCCCCCCCGAAGCCCTGAGGCCCGAGAGTCCCCATCCTGCATCCTTGTGGATCCCCAACCTCTGAGAAGCCTGATAACGGAGGGGGGGGCTAGCCAGAACCTTGACTAGGTATTTGCCTGTGTACAGCATCCCTCTCCCATGCCCTCCCATAGCCAGGCCGACTGGGCAGCGCAGGCCGTCACCACCCTAATAACAGCGATCCTGTTCCTGCACACTTCACAGTTTACAAAGCACGTTTGTGCCTGTTGCCGCTCTAATCCTCACGACACAGAGGATAATCCCTGTGCCTGCTCCAGAAGGAACAAAATTAGGGCTCCCAGAAGGGAAGCAATTTGGACAAAAGGGCGCAGCTAGTAAGGGGCATCCCCAGATTCTAAGCCCTCTCAAACAGGGAAAAGGAAAGTGTGCTCCCCCCCACCGCCCCCAGGCCCCAGATTCCTACACCTGAGTTGAAGGGCCCAGCAGGCTGGGTGTCTGGGAAGGGGCTGCTCCTCCCCCACCGCCCGCCTGCCCGAGTGCTGGCCCAGACAGTGTGGTATTGTCTCATGGGTGGGAGAATATTGTCTTTTCCTCCGAAAGAAAAATAATCAAAGTCAGATCAGCCACAGCTCATTAAAGCGTCTGCAGACATTACGGCCCCAGCAATTAACACGCGAACAATTACATGCCATCACCCTGGGGTGAGGGAGGACTGGACCCCAGCCAGCCCCCTTCTCCATCCTGACTCCTCTCCAGCGGCCGCTCGAGCCGGCACCCCTCTGCCCCCAGGCCCGTGCTGGGGTGGCAGCGTCCCAGCCACAGTTCTGCAGTTTCAGGCCAAACAGCGCTGTTAAGCTCTGTGACTGGGCAGGGTCCAGGGCCAGCCTCAGCACCAGGTGGGCGTGGCTGGGGGAGCCCGGATCAGGCTCTGTTTGGCCCCAGTCCAACGGCACCCCCAGCCCCACCCCCAGCCCGCTCCCCACAGCCGGCCCCAAGGCCAAGCCAGTTTCTGTCCTTTGTGGCTGCAGCAGCCTTCCCGCCTTGGGAGGAGGCCAGCAGCCCAGGGGCGAGGCCGGGGCTGGACTCCACCTCTGCCGTGACTCAAACTCTGAGCCACGTTCAGCTAAAATTGGTCAAGGTGGTGGCCAGGGGCTGGGGTGGGGGCGAGTGGGAGCCGTTTCACGGGTACAGAGTGTTGTTACAGATGAGACTCGGGAGCTGGGCGGGGGTGGTGGCTGCACCGTGCTGTGAATTGTTCAGTGCCACTGAACTAAAAAGTTAAAAATGGTGAAGAGGGTCGATTTTATATAATGGACTAAAAGGGAAAAATTGAAGTGGGATCATTGACATGGACCCAGTCCCAGGGCGCTGCAGTGACCATTAGGAAGAGCAGGGATCAAGGGGTCTCCAGGACAGCTAGAGTCCACCTGCCCCTCCCCAGCTCCCGGGGCATGTCAGCAACAGAGCTCCTGACAGGGGCTTTTAAGTTGCTCCTTCATCACACGTTGGAAATCTTGCTTCCTCTCCCTGAGCCTTAACCTGCCAGTTGTGAAAATGGGCATAACGCCTGTCCAGCCTGACTCGGCGGATGGAGCCAGATGGTGGACAGGGAATGCTTTGCAAATTGGAGAGACGGACAGAAAAATCCAGTCCCCAGGGCCCTACCCCCTACCCCCCCTGTCCCTCTCCGCTGCCCCGGGGGCTCCCCACAGTAACCCTCGTTTCATCTCAGACTGAAGCAGGATAATGTTCCTGTTCTTGCCTCCCTAGCTCCACTCACACAAAGGCAGGCTTGATCCAGACTCGCACACCTGACCATCACCTGCCACACCTGTGCGCCAGCCACCCCCCACCGCTCACATTCCAGGGGCTTCTAGGGCAGGGGGAGAGTCTACCCTGATAGCAGCAGCTTTAACAGGGGACAATACCTCTGCACAGCCTGGGGGTGGCGGCCAAGGCTTTTCCGAAGATAAAAGGGGGGGGGGTCGGGGAGGACTGTGGGAGCGGGAGGCCAGAGCAGAACTGCTGGAGGGGTGGCAGAGGGAGTCCCGGCTCAGAGCTGCAGCCAGGAGAGGAGAGCTGGGTCTGGGGTCCCGGGGCTGTGATTTGGAGCAAGGCCCACCGGAAAGTGGCACAAAGAAAACCTTCTTTAGGATTAGCAAGGGGGAGAAGACTTCGCAGGCATCAGCATCAGCTCCCCATGAGACTTTCTTGGTGAACAGGAAGTGAGTGGTCTACACCTATCCCCCCCCCCATAGGTGCTCCCTCCCTCATGGGCACTCTCCTGCCTCGGGGGCCAGCCTCCTGTCACACACAGACCCATGCGCCCTGACAGGCCCTCCGGCTGAGCCTCTCGGCCAAGGCAAGCGGCCCTTCTTCCTTACCTTTCACTGGCCTCAGCTCTTGGCAGCTGAGCCTGAAACCACAGGCAGCAACATACCCACCCCAGGGCAGATTTGCACCAGGAAGCTGGGACTTGTGTTGAGAACACAAGGGGTCGGTGTGGGAGGTCTGGGTCACAGCTGGGTCCCATTCCAGGCTCCGGGCCCAGGTATGGGGTGGTGGGCGGAAGGGGCTTAGCGGGGCTGCCCAGGAATGGATGAATGTGTCAGTGCGTGCACACGAGGGCAGATACACGCCGGCAAGCACACTTTCTGCCGTCCTGCTCCAAGGATGCCTGCCCCATTACTAAGGCTCTGACCCCAAACCCCACTTTCTCTTCCAGTCAGGTGAAGAAGTGTGCCCCTCGGAACCGCCCGGGGAGCTCAGTCCTGATTGTTCACATAGAGCAAGCCTGGAAGGGACCTAGGACCTGAATCGAATAGTGAATCAATAGTGCAGCCTGTATGAATCAGGAAACTTAGATTCTGGTGCTGCTTCTGCTTTGTAGTCGCTGTGTGACCTTAAACAGGTCACCTAACCTCTCTGAGCCTATTTCCTGCTCTGAGAGGCAGCGCGTACTACCTTTCAGGGTCGCCTCAGTAAGCATTAGCTTGCCCTTGGGGGAGTACAGTGGGAGGAATACTAAATCTGGAAGCAAAACCCAGCTTTAAATCCCACCTCTGCTCTGTGTTCATGCATGTAACGCAAACCACTTGACCTCTCTGAGCCTCCGTTTATCCCTCTGTAGAATGGGAGCTGTGCTTATTTCACAAGTTTGTTTTAAGAAACAGGTTAGAAAAATGAAGACCACTGCAAACAGGATCACCATACCAGTCAACGTCCAGGAATAACCCCCTCCCCTGCCCTGTCCACATCAAAGCTGAAGAGGGCAGAGGCGGCCCATGTCCCTGAGCTGAAATAACAAACGCAGCCCCTCCTCCTTGGGCCAGAGCTTTACTGGCAATTCAGGGGGAGAGCCAAGGTAGAAGGGGAGGGGGCGTCCCTGCTGTGCCCCTCCCAGGGGATACCCTCCGGGGGAGGGGACTCAGAGGGCCTTGGAGGTGGGCAGGTTGTTGTACAGGGCGTCCTGGCCCTCCAGCAGGCTGCGGTAGGTGGCGATCTCCTGCTCCAGCCGGGACTTGATGTCCATGAGCACCTGGTACTCCTGGTTCTGGCGCCCCATGTCCGCCCGCAGGCTGCTCAGCTGGGCCTCCATGGAGTTGACTGTCATCTGCATCTCCGCTAGCCGGGTTTTGTAGCGGGCCTCTGTTTCTTCCAGTGTGGCTTGCTGGGCGGCTTTCTGAGGGCAGAGGGAGAACAGGAACTCAGCAGAGAGGTCGGGGCGCAGCCACCCGCCAGGCAGCCCAGGGGCATCCCGGGGCACAGGCGCTCACCATGCTGAGCTGGGACTGCTGCTCGATCTCCAGGCTCTGCAGGGTATGCCGCAGGTCACTGGCCTCCTTCTGGCTGTTTTTCAGCGCCTCTGTGTTGTCTGCGACTACCCGAGTCAGCTCCTCAGTCTGAATGAGAGGAAGTGGAGGGAATAAGCTGAGGTTGCTCTAGCCTAGACGCACCCCACCCTCAGTGCTCAGCACCCCCCAGGGTGCCTGCTCCCTCCACATCCACCCCCCGCCCCGCACCTGTGCCATGAACTGGGTTTCTGCATCCTTCCGGTTCTTCTCCGCCAAGGCCTCATACTGGCTTCTCATATCGCTCAGGATCTTCCCCAAGTCGATGCCCGGAGCAGCATCCATCTCCACGCTGACGTGGCCCCCCACCTGGCCCCTCAGGGCGCTCATCTCCTGGACAGACACAGCAGAGATGGGCATGTTAGGGCCCAGGGTCTGCTGGGCCTGAGCCAGTTCCCTCCCCAGCCCCCGGGAGTCGATTGGGCATCCAGTCCCCCCTGCCAGGACCCCGGGAGCTGTGCTGCACACCCAGGGCCACGCCGAGGGTCCAGCGAGTGTGCTCACGCAAAGGAAACAGGACAAAACAGCACCGTAAGCTCGGAGAAACTAGGGTGGGCTAGATGAAGGTCCAGCTTAAAGCCCACCTCCTCGTGGCTCTTCTTCATGTAGGCCAGCTCTTCCTTGAGGTTCTCGATCTGCAGCTCCAGGTCGGCCCTGGCCAGGGTCAGCTCGTCCAGCACCCGGCGCAGGCCGTTGATGTCGGCCTCCACGCTCATGCGCATGGCCAGCTCCATCTCAAACCTGTCAGAGATGGTTGGCATCAGGTGACGTCTGCTCTGCACTTTTGAAGATGCTCCCATGTCCCCATGTGGGGCGCAGGGTGGATGAAGGCAGAGCCCACTCCCCGGGGGCACTGAGCCCCGTCAGGCTCTGCTAGCACCCCCTCCCCAGGGCTGAGGTGCTCACTTGGTTCGGAAGTCTTCTGCAGCCAGACGGGCATTGTCGATCTGCAGGACGATCCTGGACTTCTTGATGGTGGCATCAAGAATCTGGAAGGCAGGGGTTTGGCAGCAGTTGGGCCCGCTGGCATGGCCCACGCACATTCCGACAGGAGCAAAGAGCATGCGGGACCCCTCAGGCTGAAGGGGGTAGGAACGGGCTGGGAAGGCAGGCAGTCAGCTTGGGGTCAAGTCTGAGGCCTGTGCCCAGGGAAGTTTAAAATGGTCCTACGGAAGCAGCCTCTACCCCTCTGCAGTCAGGGGCAGAGAAGCTGGGGTTACCCCTTTGTCTGTGCCCCACCCAAAGCAGAGTCTGCCTCTGGGGAGGGAATTTCATGTGTTGAGCACCTACTATGTGCAGGCACTTGGCATCTCATCTTTCACACCAGGTCAGTGCATACACCCATTTTACAGAAATGGAAACTGAGGCTCAGGGTTCCTCGTGTGCGTGAACCCCAATCTGGGTCCAGTGGTTTACCAAAGAGCAGGTCACAACTCGTGGTCATCCTACTGGGTGGTGATTTGCATATTTTTTAAAGACTTATTTATTTATTCGTACAGAACTGGGGTACAGGTTAGAGATGCGGAGGGTGAGAGGCTTCACCAGAGACAGAGTGGGGAGCAGAACAGGCAGATCAACGAAGTACACTGCTGAGGGGAGCAGCGGGCGGGTCAGGAGAGGTCTGCCGCGCCATGTGGATCTCCTCCGGGGCAGGTGGGGATCGAACTCATGCAGAAGTGTTTTAAGCTTCTTAATGCTGTGCTTTAACCCGCTGCGCCACCAGGGAGGGCCGTGATTTGCATATTTTACAGTGAGCCAGAACACAAACTAAAATGCCAGGAGGGCTCACCCACAGTAAGGTAAGAATTGTTTCAAGAAACGTTACCTCATAGTGTGTGTGAGACAGAAGGAATGGTGTTAGGGCACATACAAACTGCGGGTCACCATGTCAAGCATGAAAGCACCATCCTAGCTGGCAGGTGGCATCCCTAGCTGCCCCTCCTTGTTAGGGTCTCCCTCTATGGCCCCCTGCCTTCACCATCCCACATACTGAATCATGCGTCTGCGTCTGGGAGACCAAGCCTCACTCTGCAAACCGTTAGGGACACACACACACACACACACACACACCAACCCCACTGTCCTTGAAGAGGTGCCCTAGCTAGGGGCAGCATGGACATCTGCCCCAGCATCTGGCCCGGAACGAACCAGATTCCGCCCAGGCCAAGTTCTAGCATTTTGTGCAACAATCCACTTAGACTCCGGGCATCCACAAGCAGTGTCCCATCTCCCCCCATTCTTTGGGACCCCTTTTCCAGGTCTCGGCCCCTCCTCCCAGCCCTCCACCAAGTCCTGCTCCCGCCCTGCACGCCCGGCCCACTAAGGACCCACCCCAGCCTCCAAGTGCCCAGCCCACCCCCACCCGGCAGGCTGGGGCGGGGCGGTTACTCCGCCTGCCACCGCTCTGCCGCCCAGCCCCAGCCCCAAGCCCGCAGGGCAAGGTTCCCGGGCAGCGGCACTTTCCGCAGGACGCCGCCCACCTGGCTTCTCAGGTCCTGGATGGTCTCCAAGTAGTGGCTGTAGTCGCGGGCCTGCCCGGGACCCTGCTTCTGGTACCATTCGTGGATCTTCACCTCCAGGTCGCCGTTGGCCTCCTCGAGAGCGCGCACCTTGTCCAGGTAGGAGGCCAGGCGGTCGTTGAGGTTCTGCATGGTGATCTTCTCGTTGCCAGCCAGCAGCCCGTCGGGGCTGGCCAGGGCGCCCCCATAGTAGCCACTGGACGAGGCCGACCGGAGGATGCGAGCGGAGGACACCGAGACCCCGCGGCCGCCGGAGCCCCCGTGGATGCTGGGCGCGCGGAAGACACCTCCAAACCCCAAGCCCGAGTGGCCACCGCCGCCCAGAGCCCCAAAGGATGAGGCGGCCGAGGACTGGCGGTAGCTAAAGGAGGTCATGGCGAGGGAGGAGGGAGGACGTGGACTCAGGAGGAGTTGCGGCAGGAACCTGCTGTCCAGGGTAGTGGCAGGCCCTCCCCTGGGGCCTTTTTAAGTCGGGCAGAAGAGGGGGGAGGGAGGGCGGGCGGATATCTGATGCCTGAAGAACTTGCTGTCTCCAGAGTGCAAATATAGGCACTCTCCCCATTGGTCAGCTCGGGAGACTCTGCCCCCAGAGGGAGAATACAGAAGCTAGAACCGCCCCCACCCCCAGCTTATCCTGATCATCTCACTCGCACTTCTAGACAACCCCCAATTTCATATGCTGGCCCCCCCCCTCCCCCCACTAAGATCGCAGAGTGTGCTGTCCCTCCAGGAATTGAGGTCACCCACACACACACCCCAGAGTGTGCCCACTGAGCGTCCCTTTGGAATCCTGGGCTGGGCCCCGTCCTGTGACCAGGTTAACTCCCCGCCCAAAGTACTTTCACCTGATTCCTACACCCCACTTGACACAGCCTCACAGAACCCAACCCGGGGGTCACCCACACCCTGACTTCCCTTCATCCCCAGATAAGGGTGCTCTGAGCTGCGCCCTCCCTGGTCCCCTGAGAAATAGTTGCCCCACCCTGCTGGGCCACCCAGTGTGCCAAGGTGACAGTGGGCCCCTAGGGCAGTTGTTGGGGGGCATAGGGGGGCAGTTCGCAGCTGGCACATTACAGCAACTAGACAGCCCCAAGCTCAAGCCTGACCCTTATAGAAGCATAGTGGGGCTCTCCATGCCCACCCCTTTACCTGAACAACCCCCTTCCTGCACCCCCAAAGAATACATTCATTTAGCACAGACTTACTAGAGTGCTTTACTGTTCCATGAGGTACCCAAGCCTGGGGGTGTGGGACTTGGGGGCTGGGGGCAGAGAGCTTGCCCAGGAGACATTTAGCACCTGTCACCAGCTCATGCTTGGGCGTATCTAGAAAGTAGGTGTCTGGAGAAGAAATCCTTGTGCCCAACAGCCTGCCCCATGGTAGGAGTGGCTTGCTAGGGAAGGTTCTACAAAAGCAGAACCCTGCACAAGCAACGTGCACAAAGCACAAAGCAACGTGTTTTAATAAGAGAAAGGAGGGGGCCCCTGGGCCCTCTCGTCTGCCCGGGCAGCTCCTCACGTGTTACTTCACCCCCTGCCAGACACGGCCCCTGCTTCCTTCTCAACCTATGTCAGAGTAGCCCACCAGCCTCAGGGCCCTTCAGAGAAGCTGTCAGGGGGATGCCCCAGTCACCCCCCAGCACCAGGCCTCAGTTTCCCCGTGAAATCTCAGCCGTCCTCTCTGCATATTATTCCCTGAATCACCTGTGGCTAAGTGAAGTCTTGTCCCCCAACTCTGAAACCCATGTCCCCAGGAACTGTCTCCTGACCACTTGTTCAGGATATAGGAAATCCCACACACACTTCACCCACCAAAAGTTGCCCTGAGACACTGGGGCAGGCCAGCCTGTGGCTATTTAAGTAGTGACTCAGACCTACAGGTGGGTCCAGTGGCCCCAAAGGAGGAAGAAAGCCTGACCCAAGGCCAGACCTGAAAGCAGGGTGTGGTGTGACTCTGAGGTGAGTCACTTTCATTTGGCCTCAAGGCCAGCTCCTTTTGGGGGAAGGGAGAGATGGAGAGAGCTGTTGCTATGTACACGAGGCACCAGCTGAGTCTCTGGCTTGCTGGAGAGAAGAGACCGAAACAAAGAAAAAGACCAACAATTCAACCCCAAAGACTGAGGAGTTGCAAGCTCCCTACATTTCAGAGGAGTTTAGAGTCCCAGCCTCCCCGCCCCAGGGCCATAATCCCAAGGCCAGCTGACTAACGGGCAGTAAGTTTACAGCTTGTCCGATCTCACAGCAACTCAGTGGAAAAGCATTCTCACCCACTACAGATGAGCAGACAGGGTCCAAGAGGCAGCGACTTAGAGGTCCCAACAGGCGTACAGGGTACAGTTTCTACCTCTTTAAAAATATATAATGTATTTATTTATGCATACAAGAGGTGGGGAGGGCGGTGAGAGGATCAGCAGAGACAGAGTGGGGAGCAGAACAGGCAGATGTCCTGAAATACACCTCCAAGGGAAGCAGCTGGCCAAACAGGAGAGGTCTGCCGCTCCGTGTGGGTCACCTCCGGGGCCAGGGATGGAACTCCTGCTGCCGTGGCTGTGGATAGCTACAGGGTGCTGAGACTTACCCCTGCGCCACCAGGGAGGGCCTCTAGCTTTCACCTCAGCTCCACAGCCTGGGTTCCTGAGTGCCGAGAGAGGCCCTGCGCCGCCCCTCAGGAGACCCCAGCTCCAGAGCTCCTTTGACTCCATGCCTTCCCAAAGGTGACCCAATGTGAGGGCAGTCAACCCCGCCGGCCCTGCAGGCCAGGCTGAGGAAGTGTCTCCCACTCTCTGGCCAGGACAATGCCTGGCACCCCATGCACTGTGTGGCTCTCAGCCACTTCCCTGGCACACCAAGGACTCAGGAGAACAGTCTGTACAGGCTGCCCTCCCCAGAGGGGGCGTGGGATGGCCGAGAGGATGTTCTCTGTCAGTAAGCAGGCTGCCCGCCAGGAGCCCCTGTGGCAGCAGGAGAGCAGAGCCCGGAGGGGAGGAGTCCCTTGGGGCTGGGGGGGTTTGTTGGAGGACTGAAGGCTGCAGCGGAGAGACAGAGGCACTGCAAGCTCCCAGGGGTCCTGGACAGCCTCCTGCCTGTCCTCACCCCAGCTCATGCCAGAGTGCCCAGCACCCTCAGATCCTGTGGAGAAGGGGGGAATCCTGTCAGGTAAGACCAGAAACACTGCGTGTTGCAACCCTTTTGGAGACTCTCAGCTTCCATTTGCCAGGTGGAGATAAAGACCAGCACCTGGGGGGGTTGCTCGAGGGTTAGATGAGATGGAGCTTGTCAGGATGCCCGCAAGAGCATCAGCACTCAGCGTTCATGTTATTATGTGATCAGTTTATGAACACGTGTTTTACGTAGTCCATTATTATATTTTATGAAGTTACATCTAACTTCATTTAACCAGCATTTCCTAAATATACGGGACTGGGCACCCTTATCCGTTAATACCTATGAATAACCCATATGTCACAGGTACAGCTCCCATCCAAGAGAGCTTGGGAGTGAAATGGCCACCGGAGGCGACTGGCCACCCGAGGCAGCGCCAGGGCTACTTTCCGAGTGGTCAGCCGAGGGCTCTCTGCATGTCCACCCGGACTCGCACTCACAGCCTCTTCTGCTAGAAGGAGTGCAGACTGCTGTTCCCAGGGGGAGAGTTTAGACACGGGGGGTCTCATCTTCCCCGAGGATATGACGTAGTGGTTGGGGACCCTGAGATGAAATTGTAAGCGAGTCCTTGCCCCCCACAATGGCCCGAGGCGGTGGTGACAATAAGACAATGATCGTGATTAGCTCTACTGTGCCAGCCACTCAGCTAAACACTTTGCCACAGGACCTCTACCGGCCCCTGCGTTAAGGGACACCGACCTCATTTTACAGAGAAGAAAAGTGAGGCTCACGCCACGCACAGCCCCAATAACCAAAGCCCCAGCACAGGCTTCCAGCCCGGCTCTAACTCCCGAAAGCCAGCATCCCAGTCACCCATGCTGTCCGGCTTCTCATGGCCGGACAGAGTCAGCACTCAGGGAAAGCCGTGGTGTCGCTAGTCGAGGCCCTAACTCGTCCTCCTTGCTGGCGTACATGTGATCTGTTTGTTCTGTCAGTGGGTCTTTCCAGCAAGGCTCAAAGTTCAAGTCAGCCTTGCAGAGCAGATGTCCAGAGCCCAGTTGCTGAGCGAGGAGAGACCATCTGGCCAGGTGCTGGAGGCACTTCCTGCCTCGGACAGGCGGCAGGGAGACACATCTGTCTTGAGGACATGCAGTAGGCTGGTAGATCCTACATTGATTTCGCTCCTGTCTAACTCCCCGTTAAGATGACAGGTAAATAATTAGAGAATAAAAGAGACCACCCAGGATAAGAAATGTGGACAAAATTTTTAAAGCTTGAACATGGTAACTAACAGCAGACAAGAGGAAGCTAGGGCTTGGAGGGAAAGAGAGGGGTGCAGAGGAGGAAGGGGAGAGCCTCGGAGAAGCAAGCGGTTTCTCAACACCAACCCAGAAAAGCTCTGGGACTGGGGCGCCAGGTAGCTGAGGGAGAAGTGGAAGACAGGAGTGAGAACAGGGCAGGCTGCAAGTTTCTATAACGGTGCCAGGGCCCCCTGCCAGCCCCGACCCAACCTGGGCAGGCCAGAAGTCTCTTCCCTATCAGACCAGCGGAGCCAGGTCAGGGGTCGGGGAAGCTGGGAGCAAGTAAACTCTCCCAACGCCTCGTGGGAAGGGCGCCCAGCCGCTGGGTGCAGGCCACTGGGCCGTGTCCTCCCTAAGAAGCCAAGTCCTGTGGGCCCCCAATCCATGATTGAAACAACAGGGTGGGGGGTGGGGAGGCTTTGAGGGGTGTTGGCATGAGCCAGCAGGCATTCAGCAAGCTGGAATTACCGGCACAGAGCAAGTGGGAGCAAAAGCAGTGCTCATTTCCAGAGCCGCAACCCTGAGCCAGAGGCCGGAAGACCCAGGTGTTTATCAGGCAGGGGGACAAAGCCGCAAGAATGGATGGCAGGCCAGCTCGAGGACAGGGAGGGCCAGGGAGGGCCAGGGAAGAGGTCTTGGGGCAGCTGTGAGCTCCTGAAGTCAAGGAAAGGCATTTCACGCAGGTGCCTGACAGGTGAAATCACCGCTTAGGAACAGCTGGATTCCAGGTCACGGCCCAGGTCAGGAGGCCAGTGCATGGGCTGCTGGGAGAGCCCCGTAGAGATGCAGAAGGCCTGGAGTGAGCACAGAGCACAGGGGCAACAAGGAGCTCACCAGCTCCCAGCCCAGGCCAGCCAGGTGTGCCCAGGCCGGGCCAGGTCTGGCCCTCACAGCAACTCACCTCAGGCACTTCCTTCAAACGGGAGTCTAGAGCCAAAGGTGAAGAGCCCTCAGGATGTCCCTCTCCACCCCC